GAGGAAGTGTCGGACCCCGATTTCCTGGAGCGAGGTCGGACAGTGAGTCATGGGTAGCACGAAGGTGGTGCTCCAGACTACTGAGTTGATCCATCAATTACGTGGGAGATTGTAGATAGCGCAAATCCATCATAAGAGTTATTCTAATAGGCGTCGATCAGATTTGGAGTTTCAGGTTGGAGATATGTTACTCCTGAAGGTGTCACCTTAGAAAGGTGTCATCTGATTCAGGAAGCGGGGAAAGATGGGCCCCAAACATATTGGTCCTTTCAGGATTATTGCTCGGGTAGGCAAGGTTGCATACTGTTTGGAGCTACCCGAGGAGCTCAATCAGATCTATAATACTTTTCACGTCTCTCAGTTACGTAAGTGTTTGGTTAATGATTCTGTAGTGGTGCCATTGGAGGATATTCAGGTAGATGAGAGCCTAATATACATAGAGAGACCAGTTGCGATCCTCGATAAGAAGACGAAGAATCTGCAAAACAAGGAGGTGGGTTTAGTGAAGGTGCAATGGCAGCACCGGAAAGGCTCAAAATGGAATTGGGAGCCTGAGGAGGAGATGAGGGAGCATTATCCAGAGTTATTTTCATAGGCGGACTTCAAGGACAAAGTCTGATTCAAGTGGAGGAGAGTTGTAACGTCTGTTTCCAAGTATTTTCAATTTTGGCTTAATATATAAAAAGTTTGCATTTTTGGTCCTTACGCGGGGATTACTCCATGGGTACACCTAGTGTAACTCATTAAAAGGTGGCAGGACTCCTTTGAGTACTCAAAACATACACAAGAGGTATGCAGGGCATACTCATGTAAACCCCAAACCCTAATTTTTAGGGTTTGGACCCTATTTAAAGGACCTTAAGTCCTTGATGCCTCCCTCATCACCAGCCCCCACTGTCCCAAAGCACCATTTCGAAACCCTAGCCACCTTGTGGGGTTCTTGAGCGTTTAGAGTGATATTTTTGTGTTTTGTGAAGAAGGTGATCATTGGAGGAGCTCTTGGGAGTCTATTTCTTGTAGATCCATATTTTTGTGATTCATCTAGCTTCTTCAGAAGGTAAAAAGCTCCCACCTTGATGGTTCATTTGCTAGATCTTGTTGGTTGGTGATTCCTTCTGTGTTTTTGGTCCCATGGATTTGGTTCTTGTGAGTATCAACTACTCCAAAACCCTTGAGCATCTTTCTATCCATTTCTGAGGTGAATAAGTCATAAAAATCGGATCTTGAGGGTTATATTCCACCCATGCATGAATTGTTGGTCATTATGTGAAGTTATGAACCTAGGGTTTGGTTTTGGGCTCTATTAAGCCACGCAAAAGATTAAATTTGTCGACTTTATCAATTAAGACCTTCCTAAGATTTAGATCTGTGAATTGGATGTTTGGACTTTAGGTATTAAGACCTTAAAAGTGATTTTGGACAACAGAGGGTTACGCAAGGCGTAACCTCTATGTACGCCCCATATGCCTTTTATGTGGACACCTAGTATGCACGACATAATGCGGGAGTACGCATGGTGTACTCCTAGAAGTCCATTTGGCCATTTTTGGGCCTTGGGCCATGTGTAGTTAGGTCCAGTATGGGAATGGTAAAAGGGTCTTTTACCCTTAGTAAGAGAGACTATGATTTGGACCTTTAATAATGGGTTATTACCCTAAATACTAATTAGGGTTAGTTTAGATGTGTTCATTGTGAGGAGCCTTTGTAGTAGTAGTGCGTGTGTGATTCAGATATCATCAGTTTGAGGTGAGTCTCTTTATTGTACTTGTGGGTCGAAGGAACCAATGACGACCCACTTGATTATGTTGTAGGATGATTGTTGTCTTTTTTACACTTACTGACATGCCTGTATGTGCTTGTTGTCTTTGTGACTCTTGCTAATATGTCTAATTGTATGCTTAAAAATGTAGGGGCTGAAATAGACTCGTACCAGTTGAAAGATATCGAGGGAGTAGTAAGGAACTTAGAGAGTCGGAAGGGACTCGGGGAGTCGGAAGGGACTCAGGGGTGAAATAGACCTCTTACAGCTTTAGGCTGATATGTATGTATCGTATGTGGTATTTTGGGGAACCCACTAAGCTTTGTGCTTACGGTTTATGTTTAAATGTTTTTCAGGTACTTCCAGTTCAAAAGGGAAAGGCCCGGCATGATCGCATTGCATCCACCAATGTTCACCATTTTATGATTTGGGATTGTACTCTGATAACTATTTTTCCACATTGTCTTACTTTGATTGTTTAAAATGAATGATTAATAGTTTTGGTTGACTTAGAAATAAAAACTTTTACTTAATATTTTTTAGATGTTTCATCTTGATATCTCGATGTGGAAATGGGAGCAAATCGTAATGGATTTCATCACCAAACTGCCAAAGACTCCTCATTGAGTGGATACCATTTGGGTGATTGTAGACAGATTGACCAAAAGTTCCCACTTTTTACCTATTTAGGAAAGCTCCTCGACTGAGAAACTCGCCAATATTTACGTTAAATAGGTGGTTTCTCGGCATGGTGTACCAGTTTCGGTAGTCTCTAATAGAGATGTTCGTTTCACTTATAGGTTTTGGAGGAAGTTCCATGATGATTCGGGCACACGATTACATTTTAGCACAACTTATCATCCTTAGACCAATAGACAGAGTGAATGGACGATACAAACTCTTAAGGATATGCTACGAGCATGTGTACTTGACTTCGGTGGAAGTTGGGATTCCTATTTACCTTTGGCAGAATTCTCCTACAACAACAATTATCACTCCAGCATTAATAGGCCTCCATTCAAGATTCTTTATGGGAGGAAATGTAGGAGTTCGATATGTTGGGGAGAAGTCGGCCAGAGAGTTTTGGGAAGTACTGCCATCATGATCAAGACTATCGAGCTTATGCAGCAGGTACGTGGGAGACTACAAATTGGTCAAAGTCGGAAAAAGAGTTACGCAGATCAACGTCATTTTGATCGTGAGTTTCTGGTTGGAGATCTACTATTGCTAAAGGTTTCACCATGGAAAGGTGTCATCAGGTTCCGGAAGTGAGGCAAGTTAGGCCCTAGATATATTAGACCTTTTTTGAGTTATTGCTTGAATGGGAAAGGTTTCCTACCATTTGGATCTATCATAAGAGCTTAGCCAGATCGACAACACTTTCCATGCTTCTCAATTAAGGAAGTGCATTACGGATGAATCTACAACTAGTTACGATCTTAGATAGGAAGACAAAGACCTTACACAACACGGCGATTGATTTGGTAAAAGTACATTGGAAACACTAGAAAGGATCATAACGGATTTGGAAACTAGAAGAAGAGATGAGAAACAACTATCTAGAGTTATTTAGTTAGATTTCGGGAACAAAATCCTTGTAAGTAGGGGAGAGTTATAACACCCCGTTTTCACTTACAGTGTAATTTAATATAAAAATATCTATTTACGAAATTCAAAGTAACTATGCATTACGTTTTAGCCAATGTATTCCACATGAAAGTTATCGTAAATGAAAATACGAACTCGTGAGTATAAAGATCGTCAAAATATAATATCGTATGAAGAAGTTATGAATTTTGCAAGGTCATTCACAATATAATCTTTACAAAATATAAAAGTGAAGATAGACTGCAAATTAGCTGTTGAAATCCAAAAGAAATTTGTATTACACATAAATACGAATTCGTGGACATAAACAACGTCGAAATGGAGCTCATATGCGAAAGTTACGATTTACCGAAGAATACGAGAAAATACCTGCGAGGGGTGACGTGGCACCACAAGAACACACCATGTGGAATTTGCATACCCCAAGTCTCCCATCTACCAGTGATCACATAACACCACCTGATATCCGACACGTGGCAACACAAAACACATCGTGCCTATAGAGAGGCACGACATGCCCTTTGAAACCCACTATAAATAGTAGGCTAGCCCCTCCTCATTTCTTACACCATTCTCTCTCGAGAATTTCTCCTCTCATCCACGATCATTTCAGTCCCTAGTGATATGACTTCTCGTTCTATATTATAGTTAGTGAAACTCTGAAAGTTTCAAAAGAAGATAAGAAAGTAGGCATGGATATTCGGGCTTAGTCGAAATCAAGTAAGTTATACTTATTCCAACCTATAACCGGTTATACCATTATTCGTTGTTATAAACCTATAAGTATTAGATTAGTCATTAATTCCAGTTAAATGTTTAGTTGGTCTATTTATGGGAAAGGTGTCTAGGATAGACACATTGGCAAGGTTGTTGGATTTCAGAAAAGTTATATGCCGAAATGGTTCTGCCTCATGACTATCTTGATTGTCTGATCCTTATTTGATAGCCATGAAAGTATATTTGGAATTAATGAATAATCTAAATAGTAGTCATTATGCTCAAATATTTAATAAAATATAGTATATTATAGGTTGATACGTATTGGTCAAGTTGTCTACAAAACTACCTACGTAGTTGCTTCAAGGATTGTTCAAGTGAGTTTTCTCACTATACTATATATAACAATATGTATCCTAGTATGATAGGATGGGATTGTGCACTTAGACGGATAGAGTAGTTAGTCAATTGTCTGTAGTGTTAAACTATATGTTATCTGGTAAATATATGTTGATATATTATGTTGCGAGTTAAGGACGGACCAGTTTTGTACTAAAGGCCAAGATAGTTGGGCGTACCAGCTTTGTGTTGAAGGTCATTATGTGAATGCATTGTATATATATATTGTGATATGTGATATTTTGGGAAACTTACCGAGCATTGACTTACAGTTGTTGAATAAATGTTTTTCAGGTTGTTCTTCTGATCGTGGAATCTGGAAAAGCTCCAGCATAACTGTACTCGCATCAAAGAAATAATTATGTTTTTGGACTTCCGCTAAGACTTTCTTTTATATTAATAAATGTATGGTGGTGATCTTTTAATGACAAATGGGCCTTTGGAGTATGGAAAGTTTATGTTAAAAATTGGGACGTTACATCTTAGTTTGTTATAGGGTGTTATAAGTGACCCTATAATGGGAAGTGACAGTATAAGGTTGGTACCAATAATATGTATTTCAAATTTATGTGATAAGTATTTATCTGTTATGTGATGTGTGCTTAATATAATGGATGAGTAATGTGTTTACTCACTAAACTTTAAGCTTACATGTTGTTTATTAATATTTGCAAGACCCTTCAGGGTGAACAAAGGAAAAAAATGGTATGACCACCGTCTGCATTATGTTTAATATGTTCGGTATGTTTTAAAAACTTTGTTCAGAAGCCTTTCGCTATTACTCTAAAGCATTATGTTTTATGTAACGACGAATGAACATTTTTATAAATGAAGTGCTATTATCATATTTGGAAAAGGGACCTATACAAAAGTTTTAATTGTTGTTGTAAAAAGAAGCACGGTGTTACACAAGTGGTTCATCATTTCAAAGTCTTGTAAACAAGGCAACGAAAGTTTTCCACAATAACATCTTCTAAAGAAAATCTTCCATGATTTGCTTAAACCACTCTGAGAGATGATGAATCATTTGAACGACCATGTGAAACCATTGCAAAAAATCATGATACTCTTAGAGAAGAAAAACAAATAACAATAAAGGGAAGTGAGTACAAATCTACATAAAAGTTCAATTCAGCATAAATGTTTGTCACCTAGGATCATATGTGAATGTCACGTTAATTTTTTTTGCCTACTCAACAATTAAGAAACATAAAAAACATGAAACAAACATATCTTTTAGTTAAATTTGCAACAAAATTATAAACTTAGTAATTAAGAAATAAAATTCAATAATAAAAATCAAAATGTAAAATGAACATGATTTTTAAGTGAAAGAACCGAAAATTTGTTAAGCAATGGTGGCCGAAATGTAAAATGTCACAAAGTTTCGCCTTCTAGATTGTGCATATTCCGCATGTGCAGGCCGCAGCACAATCAATTTGAAACCCCCCCAAGAGAATTATTTGGTCAAAACACACACACACACTATCAAATCTTCTTCGATCACTACAAAGTAAGAGAGTATTCGGGATTGAGTTTTGAAATAGCTTATTGAATTATACTCGTCGTTCACAGCCTCCTTCACAGTTCTTCACAACGTTCACCTGCATCTTCCCACACCGCCGACCCTTTTCCCTTCTCCGCTCCAGACCTTCAATCTCCGGTGCCGGCTGCAATCTTCACATTGTCCGATCACCTGGCAAGTCCCGCTTTCTTTTTCTGGTTTGGTAAGCATATGATTTTTTATTTTCTGGAATCGATGGTGCACATGAATTTCTTGTTTGATTTTGAATCTAGAGGTTAATCGAATTCCTGATTTCTGGTTTGGTTTTAATCCCGATTTCCTTTTTATCAAAAAGTGCTTAATTGGTTAAAAAGCAATCCCAAACACTCTCTAAGCAAGTCCAGATAAACCCCGGAAGTTCTAATTCAAAAGTAGTAAGATTTCAGTTCAAATCGCACTAAAATATGAATCATGATTCTCTTTATGCTCTCGTAACTTCAGCAAAATGTAAAAAAGGGAGGAAATCGAACACTTTCTGTTGATTTTTTTTTTTTGGAAAGATTACTTCATTTAAGATATTCTTATTATCGAAGGAGATTGGTTCCATTTGCAATGTAAAATGCCAATTTGAGTATATTGTAACTGTAAATGGAGATGCGATTGCGATTGTGAATGTAGGTTTTCGTTATTTGGGTTTTTTGATTTTGTGTAATTTGATTGGGAATTTGTTTCAGTTCAAAGTCGAGGTTCTCATTTAGTTGATCGAAGCTAGTTGACCAATAGAAAGAAGTCTAGGAAGTAATCTTGGAAATGGAGGAAGTGCAACAGCAGCCCATTCAATCAGTTGGTAATCCATCAAAATCTCTTATCATCTTCCATTTTTATGATGATATTCCTTTGTTGAGAAAGTATCCCAGTTTGATATGTTTTGTTGAGTGCCTGAGTTGACCAAAAATGTTAAATTGGAACTCCTGTTTATAAATATACGATTGTTTGATGACAAAGATCTGGTGTTTAATGTAAGCTTGTATTTATATATTACAGGTGAAGATGGTGAAAAGGAGATGATGTCTAATGGCTCATCTATGACACATGAAACTCAACAAGATGATGAACCAGAGATTGTGATGGAAGGATCTTCATTTGTGCATGGAGGAGCTTCTGAAGATGATAAAGGTCCTCCAAAAGTTGATTCTCAAGTGGAAGTCCTCCATGAAAAGGTTACAAAGCAAATTATTAAGGAAGGACATGGTGTCAAACCATCAAAATATTCAACTTGCTTTTGTAAGTTCCCCGTTTTTATGGAGTGATCATTTTTATTTCAATTAAGATTCATATGATCGAGTGCATTTGGTGGTATTATTCATAGTATAGTTTGTTAATTGTTTGTAAAACTATATATGATCATTGGAGGACTCGAATTCCTTCTATGTTTCTTTTTTACTTAATACATGCAACACCTCTTAATGGATTAAGTGAGAAGAGGGACCATTTATATTCATATTTCTAACATTTGTCAAATAGTTCAGCATTATTTCTAAGCAAAGGGTTAAATGGTCATTTACTCTCATTCAAAGGTTCATTAGTTATAAAAACAAGTACTCTTACTCTAGACATCATTCATCCATACAACACTTATTGGAAGAAAAAGAAAAAAAAAAACATGCCCTTAATCCATTAAGCTATATATGGGTGTTTTTTTTTACTTAATGAAAACAATGACTTAATAGATTAAGTTAAAGAAAGAAGGCTTTCCCCACTAAGTCCAACTTTTTACAAATTTTTCCCTCGTTTTTTTTTTCTTTGTATTTCCCAAAGTGTGCTTTCTTTATAACAAATATTTTTTAAAAATCATTTCACTTATGACCACATGTTTAATTTTGTAGTGCACTACAAAGCATGGACTGAAAGTACCCAACACAAGTTTGAAGACACCTGGCAAGAGCTACAACTAGTTGAATTGGTCTTAGGGAAAGGTATAAATGCATCAAACAATTCTCACCTTTTAACTTATGTAAATGGTTTTTCTTGAATTGTACAAAAAAAAGTACAATGATTTAATCACTATAGAAAATAGTTAAGTGGCTTACTTTTTGGCATTTGTCAAAAATGCTTATTCTTGGAAACTAATGTGTAACCTTTTAACATTTTTACAAGAAAGATTAGTCTAAGAAAGCCAAATCACTTGTTTTGACTTAAATTGTGGTCTCATGAAAAAACTTGGACCTTTTTGACCCTGTTCTTTTATGCCAGAGAAAAAGGAAATGGCGGGATTGGCCATTGGGTTGAGCTCCATGAAATCGGGGGAGCGAGCTGTGTTACATGTGGGTTGGGAATTAGGGTATGGTGAAGAAGGAAACTTTTCTTTTCCAAATGTGCCACCAAAGGCAGATATCATCTATGAAGTTGAACTAATCGGTTTTGATGAAACAAAAGAAGTAAGTACCACTTATTTAAATCCATGTTTTACATTATTCCATCTTTTTTAATGCACTACATCAGTCTCAGTACCAGTACAAGTACAATGCATGTCAAACACAGTACAAGGCTGTCTGTCTAGTCCTGTACAGTACAAGTACAATGCACTACATCAGTCTCAGTCTCAGTACCAGTACCAGTACAAGTACAATGCACTACATCAGTCTCAGTCTCAGTACCAGTACCAGTACAAGTACAATGCACTACATCAGTCTCAGTACAAGTACAAATGGGGCCTACTAGATAGGTGGTCCTATGCACCCCAAAAAGGGAAAATGATAGAAAAGCCCTTACATTTTGGATGTTTTTACATAAACGCCATTATAAAGAAAATGTTTCAATAAAACCTTTTGAAAATTGTAAATTTTTCATGAAAGCCATTTTAGAATCTTTAACCATAATAAAATTGGAAAAAGTCAAAAAGCCCTTATTTTTATACACTCTTACAAGCTTTTCCCTAAAAATGTCCAAAATATATAATTTGTCTTCATATAGAATAGTTAAAAAGAAAATTATAAAACGGTTTTCATGGAAAACTTACAAATCCCAAATAGTTTTTTTGAGAACTTTTTTGCTTTTCCATTAAAACATGTAAAATATAACGGTTTTTCTAACATTTGCCCCACCAAGAATTTGAAATCATCGTGGGGTTAAAGTTGTCATTTTTATTTGTCTAATAAATATGAATGTTTTGATAGGGAAAAGCTCGTAGTGATATGACAGTAGAAGAGAGAATAAGTGCAGCCGATAGAAGAAGAATGGATGGAAATTCTTTATTCAAAGAAGAAAAATCAGAGGAGGCTATGCAACAATATGAAATGGTATTAAAATATATATTCTTACTATGAATTTTTATAAATGAATTTTTATAAACATGTTTTTTTTTGGTGGATATAATAATGAATATAGGCAATCGCATACATGAATGATGATTTCATGTTTCAATTATATGGAAAGTATCAAGACATGGCTTTAGGGGTTAAGAATCCTTGTCACCTTAACATTGCAGCTTGTTTGATAAAGCTCAAACGCTATGAAGAAGCCATTGCTCAATGTGCTATTGTACGTATTACTTTTTTCTTTTTGCTTTTTTATTTTATTATAAATTTATTTTTGATTTTCTTTTGCACGACAAAATAAGGTAAAAGTTATAGGAAGAAAAAAAAAACCAAACACGTATTTTCACCATGTTATTGATTTAGTCCCTTAACTATTTTTTATAATGATAAAACCATTATTACCTTGTTTGACCTTTTAAGAAACCCATTTGTCTAGTTAATTATTAGAGTAAATTACACGAATGGTCCCTATGGTTTGGGGTAATTTGCGTGCTTGGTCCTTAACTTATTTTTTTTTAACTCGGAAGGTCCCTACTATTTGTTTTTGTTACGCGCTTGGTCCCTGTCTTACTTAAAAAGACTATTATTTAAAAAAGGAATAAAATAGTGGGGTAAGGTAAGACAGGGACCAATCGCGTAACAAAAACAAACATTAGGGACCTTCCGAGTTAAAAAAATAAGTTAGGGACCAAACGCACAAATTACCCTAAACCATAGGGACCATTCGTGTAATTTACTCTAACTATTATTATGAGTTTATGACAATCATAATAATGGTTTTTATAAAGGGCAAATGACATAAATGCCCTTAAGTTTAACAGAAATGTACGGATTTACCCTTGTGCATATTTTAGGTTCATTAAAACTGTAAACCCTTGGGTTTTAATGAACCTAAAATACGCAAAAGGATAAATCTGTACATTTCTGTCAAACTTAAGGGCTTTTATGTCATTTGCCCTTTTATAAACGGTAAAAAGAAGTATAATGGTTTTAATCAATACAAAAAACATAATAATAGAAAACTAACAACCTAAACCCTAAATTTATTTTGTAGGTACTTGCGGAGGATCAAAATAATGTGAAAGCACTATTTAGGCGAGGGAAAGCTCGGTCAGAACTCGGGCAGACAGATGCTGCCCGAGAAGATTTTTTGAAAGCGCGTAAATTTGCCCCTGAAGATAAAGCAATATTAAAGGAATTACGTGTGCTTGATGAAGATGATAAGATTGTTTTATCAGAAACAAAAGGAGCTTTATAAAGGCTTGTTTGGACCTAGACCCCAACCTAAAGACACCAAGAGAGTTACTAATTGGTTGGTTTTAGTTTGGCAATGGCTGGTTTTGTTGTTTTATCGGCTTTTTGGGGGTAAAATGGTCAAAACTGAATGATTTTGAGGAGTGAGAATGTTGAGATTTTAGGTTGAAATTTGAAAGGTTTTAATGTGGTTTAATTGAATGCAAAAACTACTAGAACTTGTATATGAACTTGTTGCTGTTGTAACATTATATACGTTATGTGTTCAAGAAATTTACATATGTGGAGTTGGACTTTTTTTTATTGCTGTTTTTTTTATCGTTTTATAAGTTATGATAAATTTTTGAATAAAAACAAGAATATAAATTGGAACCGAAAAATTCATAGTTTCTCCTCTAAAAATGACTTAGCAATCAGGAAATGTATTAAATATTTACTTAAATTGGTAGGCCCTTGAGCAGATTTGACATTAGCTCCAAGACTTTTTTTAATTAATATTTAATAAAAATATATAATTAAATCAAGTTGTGTAGTCTAACAAAAAGAAGATAAAAATCTACAATGACCAAGTTCATCGAAAATAAGTACAAATTAGACAATGAAAATATAAACCCACGCTAATAGAATCCAATAAAAATAAGTACAAATAAAACACACAAAACTTACTTCACAACTTCCTTTTTTCCATTATGCAAATATACAATTGCTACGATACCAGAAATAGTATGCCTAAATTAAGGTAAATCCATTTTCCAAGCCAATATAGTCTATGAATCCATAGTTCCATACATCAATTACATATATCATACACATTAATTTTTATTTTTATTTTTTTTGTCTAAATTTAACTACCAATGGTGCTCAAATGTGGAATTCCATGCACAATAAGCACACACAATCCTTTGAGAAATATAAACATAAACCGCGAATGATAGACTCATGAGTACCAAATCCTTCCAATCCCCTTTTTGTTTAGGACTCAAACTTTCTTTAATTCCTCTTCCAAGCTTCTGTACACTCACAAAAACCTCCTTCAAACTTTCCTTCTTCTCCTTACTCTCTTTCTCTTTATCCGTGGGTGGATCGAACCCAAATCGGGTTTGGCAAGCCATGAAGGTGGGTTTGGTTTGATGGCTCATGGGGTGCACCAATTCTTGAATTGTGGTCTTTGATCTTATGGTGTGGAATGAGGGGCTTATTGAGAAGAAAGCCATGTGGGTTTCGTGTTAAAAGGTTTAATGTTTGAAGCTTTTGGTCATTTGATGGTTTGTTTGATGATTTCAAGTGTTGAAAGAATGGGTTGGAAGAAGAGAGAGGATAAAGCACGACACCCAAAGGCTATTGTCAATTATCGAAGCAAAATATCTAAGAAAGTGCAAGCATTTTAGGCAGCCCTTTACCACCTTAGGTTTTAGAAATGGATAAGATGGTCAAAGATTTGACCTTTTGTTTTGACAAGTTCAACTTAAATTTTCGAAATGTGAATAACTTACAAGGCTAAAGATTTATTGTACTATGATATTCTTTTCTGTAGTGTATTTTTTGTTTTTATTAGAATATTGTAATTTAAATATAAACTAAACTACATAAATTGTTTATAAGTTCGAAAATTTTATAGTTCTTAACTTTTTTTCTCACTCTATTTCAGAAACTTGATTGGAGAATATCTTTAAGTTTTTATTATTTTTAATTATCTTTACTTTATATATATATATATATATATATATATATATATATATATATATATATATATATATATATATATATAGGGAAATCTTTGGAAAAGTCCTAATATTTCACCCTAATTTACGAAAAAGTCCCGAACTAAAATTGGTTTATGAAAAAGTCCTGATTACCGGAAAAAATGACGATTTGACCCTTTTTTCCGGTTTATCGGTTTTAATACTTACCCGGTTTCATTAAAGTCACATTATTTTACCATAACTTTCATTAAAATCTCATTATTTTACGATAATTTGGGACGTATTCGTAAATTATGGTAAAATAATGGGACTTTATTAAAACCGGGTAAGTAATGAAACCGGTAAACCGGGAAAATAGGGTCAAGTTATCGTTTTTACCGGTAATTGGGACTTTTTCGTAAACAAATTTTAGTTTGGAACTTTTTCGTAAATTAGGGTAAAATAATGGGATTTTTCCGGAGATTTCCCTATATATATATATATATATATATATATATATAAAGTTCAAACTTAAAATGATAATTAAAAAAGTTCAAACTCCATTGATATTGTTTTTTCTAATTGACCAACAGGGATATGATACCCGGTAAAAGTAAACAAAGAACCTTCTATTTGACATTATATCTACCGATGGGGCGGTTAAGTTCTTTAATTTTGATAACATTGTCATTGTTGTTGAGTTCAAATCCGGCGCGAGTATCCAACGAAGTTGTGTAGTTATAATTCGTGTTTTGTTAGGATTCAGTTGGGTTTCAAGAACGTATTCAGAAAGGGGCTATAAGTTAGGTTAGTAAATAAAACATTTGCTCCTTGCATGGGCTAATGTGATTGCATCCGGGGATAATAAAATTGCACTAGTAAGAAAATAGGTTTCTAAAATTGTAAGCAGTAGAGTGGTAAAGACTCAAAAGAAAAAAAATGGTTGTATTGTAAATACTGGTGTAGTTTGCAGAGTTCTTTGTAGTATTTGAATGTGAAATTGGATTGAAATAGAGTATGTAAAATGTTGGTTTAGTTCCACATTTATATATAATACTGACAAGAATATGAAGAGAGAGAATAAAGGAAGAAATATTGTTTGAGTGCAAATGAATTTTGTTATTCTATAACTGAATAGAACTATTACATTTATACTCTAAAGTACATTAAAATGAGTAAACTAGTTTCTAACAATAAATAACAGAATCTAACTGTTTACACATGTGAAACTTAACATTCTCCCCTCAAGTTGAACCATGGTGAATATCTTGAAGGTTCAACTTAGACATAAGATTTTGAAATTGTAGGCCACACAGTGCTTTTGTAAACAAATCTACAACTTGTTGTTTGGTTGAAACATGTTTTGGCTGAACAAATCCCAATTTGTATTGATCCCTTAATATATGAAAATCTATATCCAAGTGTGTTCTTTCATGAAATATCGGATTTTCAATGATATGCATAATTTCCTTATTATCACACAATAAGTCAACTGGAATATTTGTTTTTATTTTTAAATATCTCAAGATGTAACTAATCCATAGTAACTTATATACAGTAGCAGCTAGGCTTCTATATTCTGCTTCATACAATGATCTGGACACAGTTTTCTGCTTCTTTGTCTTCCATGAGATCAAATATGATCCTACAAAGATGCAATATCCTATTAAGAGCCTTCTAGTATCACAACAAGTGGCCCAATCATAGTCATTGTATGCAATTATGTTCATAACTTCATAGTTTTTCTCAAAGAATAAACCTTTTGATGGGCATCGTTTAATTATTTTAGTACATGTAATGCATATTTCCAATGCAGATCAGTTGGAGAGTGTAGATATTGACTATATTGTTGGACTGCATAACTAATATCAGGTCTTGTTAAATTGAGATAAAGTAATTTCCCAATTAATTTTTTGTACTTCTGTGGATCATTCAGCAGTCTTCCTCTTGAACTTAAATGCATATTTTTCATAACAGGACTTGATGTTGGTTTGACTCCAGTTAAACCAACTACTGATAATATGTCCAGAACATGTTTTCTTTGATTTATATACGACCCTTTTCTGTTTTAAGTAACTCAATTCCAAGAAAATAACTTGCATCTCCAAGATCTTTAATTATGAATGCTTTATGTAAATAAGCTTTCACTTCAGTAATGATGCTTTCATTAGGGCTAGTAATTAGTACATCATCAACATATACTACAAGTGTCACACACTTGTTTCCTTCACCTTTTGTAAATAGGTAGTGGTCATGTGGAGATTATAGAAAACAAATTCCACCAATTTGTTACAAAACTCTATATGAAATTGTCTGCTTGCTTGTTTCGGTCCATATAAGGACTTGTTCAATTTGCATACTTATCCTTCCTTTATCTTTATATCTTCTTGTGGAGGCAACAAAGAAACTTCTTCTTCAAGATATCCCTGCAAAAAAGCACTATTGATATCTAATTGGTGTAGAAACCAATTCTTAGATGTAGATAAAACCAATAGAACTCTAAACGTTACCACCTTTGCAAGTGGAGAGAAACTATCAAGATAATTTATTCCATACACTTGATTGTAACCCTTTTGTAACTCTCGTTTTTCCTGGACGAATCGAATTAGGGTTTCAATGAGTCAAAGGTTGGATTTTGGAGGAAAAAGGATCCTCACGACGTGTGTAACAAACCGTTATTTCAAAACTATGTAATAGTATAGATCAATTTGTAGTTCTTTTTAAAATAATAAAGAGAAATTTGTCTATACTATGTGCATTTACATAATCGACCCTCAAAAATGAAGCATTAAATAATCTTGATTGGGATGAAAAAAGTGGTAGAGATTGTAACAAGGTTTAAAATATAAAGAACGCTAAAATCCGAGTTATAACGAAGAAGTTATGACCAATCGAAGATCCGCGACAAAACCGGCAAAACACTGTTTAGCGTAAAAAGTGAGATTTCAATAAAAGGATTTTTAGCCTTAACAATCTAAATGAAAGTTATAGATTATGTTAAACCGAGAACTTTCATAAAATGAACGTCAAAATCTAACTTCGTATAAGGAAGTTATGATTTTTCTAAGTTTTAGTATAGCAATATACAGCTAAAAACTCGAAATAAAGATCGAATGATTTTTAGAAAGTTCTCGGTTTAGAAGACACAACCTAAACGAGAATCGAAGGTCTCATCAATAGTAGTAGAACGGTAAAAAGACAGACGAAAACGGACTTCGGATAAAGAAGTTATGAATTTTTAACGGATTTTCCTGTCCCGGTCTGTTAAAAATAATAATATTAAAAATAAATTCAAAATTAGCCAACGAAGTCTAAACGAAAGTCGTAGAGTATAATCTCACCTACGTGTGCATATAAAGAACGTCGAAAACGGAGCTCGTATACGAAAGTTATGAATTTCGCAAGTTTTTGGCACAAAAATCGAAAAATATTGAAAACCGGGAAAATTCGCATGGTTAGGGTTCGGCCACGTCACCTTGCATGCGAGGCTGCCTCGTTTCCGCCCCGTGTCCGTTTCTGATTCGACCGAAGGCGCGGCCCAACCCGGTATCATATCTAACACCCGAAGCAAGCCCCGAAGCCTCGACATTCCCGAGAAAAACAACCTTCTCCAGTCGAAGTGCTGCTCGCGTAAGCTTTTCATCAAATCGTCACTCTTACCAAGTGAGTTCATACCCCCGTATTTTCATAGTTTTTACAGTTTTAAGGGGGTGAATACAAGTCTAACATGAGGATTTTGTGTTACAAACAAATGATTTCAAATTGTGATAAAATGACATCAAGTCATTAAAAGTATTTCAAAATATTAAACTCTTTTATAAACTTATATTTTTCCCAAAAATCATATATATATATATATATATATATATATATATATATATATATATATTTATATAAATAAGATTTAAAAAGACTTAGGACTGATAACTCACTTTGGGTCTTTTTCCTTGTTTGGATGTGGGCTTATAGTATCGGTTATTTGTCTGAATGTCGTTTAAATCATACTTATATATAATTGTATATGTATATGAATATAAAAGTTATTTCATTCAGTTTAAATACCCTTTGTAACATGTTGAGCAAGGGGTTACATTCATGAACAGTTAGTACCAATTCAGAAAGTACATATAAATTATAATAGGTATAATTTATGATACATAGAACATTAAATCACGATTCAAGTATACTAGAATACACCGTTTTACAATAAACAAAGGTTTGATTCAAAACTAATCAAGGGTATACAGTTTTCAAATACATGTTAAGAATACTAATTCAGGAATATACAATTAGTCATTATTTCAGAATGATTGGGTTTTCACTTATACTATACACGTAACGTCTATATTTTTTTTATGAGTCATTTGGTTCAGGTTGTTTATTCATTTAAACAACATAGTTAAAGTCCTGATATTATAACCAGAATCTCCCGTCGTGGATCGAAACAAGTGTATATAGATCTATATTGGGATTGACAACCCCGCACTCGGACTGCTAGCTACAGTCAGGCATACACGCCTACGAGTGACAGT